ATACATACACGGCACGAAAGCATGACAGCGACTCCCGACGAAGCATTGCCTGATGAGTGATATGTCCCAAGAGCTTCCGAAGCGTCCTACCAGAACATCGACGGCGCCTCAAGAGGAACTCCAAAGCCATCCACACCCTCCATCTCCTTTCATGTCTTGGTAAAATTCGACCATCCCCCGAGACGCTGAGCCCCAGTAGATCTCCCCCGACTCCGACTACATCGACCTCGTGAGCCTCCAGACCGGCACTCCGAACAGCCTCCAGGGATCGCGGGGTGAGATCACGACAAACATCAGAGGAGCTTGAGAAGACGCCCACGTTGTCCACATAGACCGACACACACCCATTTTTCAGATCACCAACTGGCCGATGATCCTGTAGAAGATGCGAGCTTGCAAACGCCTGGCTCAAAATCCTCTCGTGAATTGTCTGGCACCAGTACAGCGCGTGGACCCAACCCATCGGCATGACAGTAAGTCGAGGTCGCACAATCCCTCCAGTGCTCGGAATGTCGGGGAGCAGCCGCTTCATCCACTTAGCCTTGATGGGGGGGCAGATGGAAAAAAACTCCGCAACTCGGGGGGCGTTCCAAACTGAAAGAAAGCATCCTGTAAATCGTACTGACCTACATGCAGCTGCTCTCCGGTCTCGAGCCTTAATCTGGATAAAGCGCCCGACGTGGGCAGCTCGACATGGTCACTACTCGTGAAAAAGCAATTGGACTGCCGGCAATCGGCAATCAGGCGTTGGGCACCGCTCTTCTTGCGCACAGTATAAAGTCCTACGCAAGCATCACCATCCTCGCACACAAACTCAACCATGTTCCTGACATGCAGCATCTGAAGCACGCGTGCATATCGGCGCGCAGACCTGCGAAGACCAGGGTCATGATAAATCTTCATCCTGCTCGCTTCGAAACTGCGCATGCCTACCGAGTTTGGCAGCACATGCTCGCACATCCACGCCTGGACTTCCCCACGACCTTTGGGGCCCAAAAGCTGACATATATCAGTTGGGGCCGTCCCTGCCGGCCTAAGCGACAGCAGAAACTCGCCCAGGGGAACTGCTGGCGAACTTTAACCAGAGTAGTCACACCCACCGCTGATGCTCGAAAAAGCCTCGGCCGGCTGAGCATCGGCGGGGGGGATGCCCATCCTACTGCAACGTCCCCGGAGGTGCCCCATGCTGCCCCCGCCCAGAGACAAAGCAGCACCCGCAGGACAGCACGGAGCACCACCCAGGCACATTTCTGTAAGGACGGAGGCGGCGTCGTGGCTAAGCCGATTCAACCATTGCTCGGACGAGACTGGAAGACTGCTCAGCCCAGGCGGCCGCCTAGTCGCGCAGATCGAGGAATCTGACCTCGATGCTTTTACCCGGCGCTCTAAAAGTGTCCGAGGCTCCGCCGACGAAAACAGCCGACTCGACGTTGCACCCGAATTCGTCGCTCCCGTGAGCGATGGATGGCCTGCACGCAGTGCTGGCCGCCGGATGAGGCCGTCTCCGACGGCCCCGCGTGTGCTCATTGCTCGTTGCCCCCACGGACACGACCAACTCCGCCTGGGGGCTGACGAAGGAGGGCTCTTTCTTCTCGAGCTTGCCTGGCATGCTTCTGGGACTGCGACTTCTTCTCTAACTCCTCACTCACGTGCCCGATGAGCATCAGGGCACAGCACACCGTGGGATTGACGAGCTGCCGCCCGATCAGGTCCATCTCGTCAGTCGTGATGCCGGCCAACCCAGCGACAGAGGAAGAGGCGCCAACAGATCTGCCGCGCTCTCCTCCTCGAACCTTCTCTGCGTACTGGTACTCTATGGTCCGGAGCTGGCGTGCGATCTCCCTAATCACCACCAAGTCTGACAGGTCGAGCTGATCCACATCCGTCGTCCACTGCTCGACCTGATTCTTCGCTACCTTCTCTATCAAGACCACGTGCAGCCCAGCGCAAACGATGCCGCATTTCTCGGCAAACACCTCCAGCCGTCCTGGGCCCTCGTCATCGACCGAGAAGACGGCGTCCGACTCCGCGAGCTGCCAGACCTCAGCTTCAGCCCCTGGCGGAGCCACTCCACGGCCAGCCAGTGTCACCAGACCCTGCGCCTCCGCTAGCAGCTCGCGCAGCGCGGCCTGCTCAGGTCCAGCACCAACTCTGGAATTGTAAATGTGGGCACCCTGCTGGCTCGGTGGAATGCTGCCGTCTGCCTTGAGAGCCAGCACACCCGGGATGTCGCCGTTGCTGGGGCCGTAGTCCTCCTCATACAGGTCCTGGCCGGGTGTATATATGATCCACCTTGTGCTCTCGGCATGCGCGAGCATGGTGTGAACGTGCCAGAGGCCATCATCATAACGCACCAGCAACTCTCGCCCCCGGGCCAACGACGATGACACCGCCGCCAGCCCCACCGCTCCGGCCAGCCCGGCTACTGCCACTAGCTGTGCCATCGGTCTGGATGACCACCCGCCTGGAACTCCGACCGAGCAGCCACGACCACGGTGAGCTCCCACCGCGAAAGCCGATGCGATGAAGCCAGCGTGCAGCACAAAGCTGAACTCGTATGTAGCTCATCATGCCGCTCGTCGGGCCCGCCAGCTGCTGGGAGACCACGCGCACAAGATGGGACACTCTCCACTTGCTTCGCCTGAGACGACGCAATAGCAGCACACGGCGATCACGCTTCCTCCACCTCTGGTCTCGAAAAGAGATGGTACAATCCCGACTGAGATTACGTGTGAGTGTGTACGCAGCAGAGGCTCTACCTGCTAGTGTCTCCAGGGAGCCCCCCCTTTGAGCAACACACGCTGCAGAGAGCATCATCGGCTGACGCAAGACGTGCGCGCACTAGTATGATGATGATGATGATGATGATGATGATGATGATGATGATGATGATGATGATGATGATGATGATGATGATGATGATGATGATGGGGAGGGAAATAAACGGACGATGCACGTGCGTCACGGAATTGGAAGCTGCTTTGCAAGAAGACAAACATCCTCACCCAGGGTCTCGGGCACAGTGCGTTACCCCTCTATAAATATGTACTACAATATGATCAATCACCTCTTTCTCCAACCTCTAGCACATCCTCCGCCATACTCGCTGAAGGTCCTAGACAAGTCATGGCCATGCTTGGGTCTGCCGCTGGCGGCCGACACGCTGGGTACTGTACCGCTGGCGGCGGACACGCTCACTTTCCCCTAGCGCCATCTGGCGCGAAGCGAGTGCAACAAAAACACGTACTGCAATACAACATGGCAAACGCGACGCGTCGGGAATATAGCGTCCTACCGGATGCAATCACGTTATGTTTCACAAGCGCCTGTTGAAAAGTGTCGAAATCTGATTCGCTGTCCAATACGGTCTGAAGAGATGCCTCGACGCCTCCATCATTGTTAGCGTGTTGCCAGGCAAGATCAAAAACGCACGATGTGTCAAGTTCGCCGTGGTAGCCGAAGCGCGCAGCTGCCTGCATGAATGCCGAACGCAACATTAGCTTTGAGCGACCAACCGATTCAATAGTATCCGTTTTGACAGATATGTTGTTGCTACCGTAGGTGAACTGCCATTATCTGTCTTCTCTTTGTGCGCCAAAGACACCGTCCAAGCCATTGGGGTCTTTTCTTCGAGTGAAAACAGATGAGCCGAACCTCAACGCCAAGCTCGTATGGACTGTTTGAAAAGGGGCCTTGCTGAAGCAATGTGTTCTGCGGCCGCGTCGGAATCAATTGACTTGCTTGCTGATGAACACTCTGAAACCAAATCAATTTGGCAAAACCATCTGCGCAAGCATTTCCCGTGCTGGCGTTTGCGGTCGCGACGCCAATGTCGGCAAAGATGTCCAGAGCCAGGTCTGGTGTATCAACTGCGCCACATCGGCCGACGCGTGAAGCATACGACGGCGGAGCCAAAAACAAGGAAATATGAGGTAGCCGCAATGGGCGAGGAAGCTGTACGAATTCAGTGCTCGTTACTGCATCTGGTATCATGTGCGCACTGGGTATGAATGCCACCGCACGTTTGTTAATTCTACCTTTGTTGTTTTGGTACACGGGTCACGCCGATCCGTATCACCACGGGTCGCCTTGACAACAATGGTATGTTTGGACATGTTGCTTACGTCTCTGAGGGCAACGTGTATGCAACGAGTATGGGCTGCAAACCCAATTCGATTGAATGTTTGTTTCAAATCATTGATATGCGCAGTGCTGCTCGTTTCAAAATCGGGGCTGCCGAAAGGAGAATGAATGCCATGGGAAATAAGAGAGGCAAACGTAACTATCGCCGAGCCTCGACAAAGTCGGCTCGATCTCGGCAGCGCGGGCGCTTACTTGAGGGCGGCGCAAGCGCCACTCTGTCACTGACACGCCGAAAAAGTTTGGTGGCCAGTGGTTGCCTCGCTGATTTGATCATCCTCCTCCTCCTCCGCCTCCTCTTCCTCCTCCTCCTCCTCCTCCTCCGCCTCCGCCTCCGCCTCCGCCTCCTCCTCCTCCTCCTCCTCCTCCTCCTCCTCCCTCCTCCTCCTCCTCCTCTCCTCCTCCTCTCCTCCTCCTCCTCCCCCCCCTCCCCCTCCCCCTCCCCCCTCCCCCTCCCCCCTCCCCCTCCCCTCCCCCTCCTCCTCCTCCTCCTCCTCCTCCTCCCTCCTCCTCCCCCCCTCCTCCTCCTCCTTCCTCCCCTCCTCTCCTCCTCTCCTCTTCCTCCTCCTCTCCTCCTCCTCCTCCTCCTCCTCCTCCTCCTCCTCCCCGTCCTCCTCCTCCTCCTCGCCGTCCTCAACCCCGTCCTCCTCCTTCTCCTCCTCCTCCTCCTCCTCCTCCTCCTCCTCCCCCTCCTCCTCCTCCCCGTCCTGAAGGGGGAAGGTAGCGACATAGGAAAGAAGAAAGGAAGAGAGACGGAGGATGAAAGAGGGTCCAGGAGGTCGAAAATCACGACGACGACGTCGACGACGACAACGACGACGACCACCACCACGAAGACGACGACGAGGGGGGGCGCGTTCCTTGATCGCGAGTTTTGCTTCCTCCGGGTCGCCCTCGGAGAAGCCGCCAGCCTCGGTGATCCGCCTGCGGCACCCCGCGGAAAGCCGCGCCTCGTCGTCGTCGTCGTCGTCGTCGTCGTCGTCGTCGCCGCCGTCGTCGTCGTCGTCGTCGTCGTCCGTCGTCCGTCGTCCGTCGTCGTCGTCGTCGTCGTCGTTGTCGTCGTCGTCGTCGGTCGTCGTCGCCATCACCGTTCGTCGTCGCCGTTCGCTCGTCGGCCGATGGGTCCGGCGTCGGCGACGCCCACATCGTCCATCGTCCGTCGTCCGTTGCCCGTCGTCGTCGTATTCCTCGTCCTCGTCGGTCGGTCGTCGGTTGTCGTCGCTCCGTCCGTCCGTCCGTCCATCGCTCCGTCCGTCCGTCCGTCCGTCATATTCATCGTCGGTCGTCCGTCGTCGTCCGTCGTCCGTCGTCCGTCGTCCGTCGTCGTCGTCGTCGTCATCGTCCTCCTCCTCCTCCTCCTCTTCCTCCTCCTCCTCCTCCTCTACCGCCTCCTCCTCCTCCTCCTCCTCCTCCTCCTCCTCCTCCTCCTCCTCCTCCTCCTCCTCCTCCTCCTCCCGCTCCTCCTCCTCCTCCTCAACTTCTCCCTGTCGCACCCCGAGGCCAGTTTTTAGGGCGGGCCGGGCGTTTCGCCTGAGACTTCCTCACCACTAGCGACTTTGAAGATTAAAATGTGGCACCAGTTTCACAGATGAAGGGCGGGTGGTTTTCAAAATGTGGCTCTCGACTCAGCGCCGCGCACATTCGTTTTCAAAATTTGCGAAGGTTTCACAAATTGACGGCGGGTCGTTTTCAACATGTGGCTCTCGCCTTCGCGCCGCGCAGATTTGTTACAAAAATCCCACCAGCCCTCTGGGCGTAGGTGGTCTAACGATGCATGTCTTCCCTCTTCCACAAAACCCATCTTCCCCTTCGGAGAGGGGTTCACCCCTCCCCTACTCCCTACAGTGGACTTTTTGGGGGGGTTCGTGGGTGGCTGGAGGGTCCTTTTTTCGGCCCCTGGAAAGGCCAATGTTTCGCCGTTTCGCTTCAGATGCGCGTTGGGGGCCTCAAGATGGCCCCAAGATGGCCCAAAAAGGCCCCAAGAGGGGCCCAAGATGCCCCTAAGACGGCCCCTAGAATGCCCAAGAGCGCCCCATGAGGCGGTTTTCAGGGGCCCAAGAGGGGGGGACATAGATCGGGCCCCCCCCTCCTTTGATCGATAGTCTCGAAGATGGCCCCAAGAGGCTCCAGGGCTCCCAAGAGAGCCCAAAGACAGCCCTCTTGGGCCCCAAGAGGGTCCAAAGAGAGCCCCAAGACGGCCCCAAGAGGCCCCCGAGCGGCCTCAGCGAGCCCAAGATGACCTCCAAGATGGCTCAGATAGCCCAAGTTGGCTCAAGATGGCTCTCAAGATGCTCCAAACGGCCCCAAGACCGCTCCAAGAGAGCCGAAGAGCGCTCCAAGAGAGCCCCAAGAAGCGGCGTGCTGGCTCCTGAGGGGGGAGCTGAGTTGGGGACCCCCCCATCCTGTAATCGATGGCCTCCAAGATGATCCCAAGAAGCCTTCCAGGGTTACCAAGAGGGTTCCAAGAGGGCCCCAGAAACTCCCAGAGAGCACCAGCAGCAGCTGCAGGAATACCTCTAGATGGTTCCATGTCCTCGTCCGCGTCGTCCTCATCCTAGTCCTCGTCCTCCTCGTCCTCGTCCTCATCCGCGTCTTCGTCCTCCTATTCCTCCTCGTCCTCCTCCTCCTGCTCCTCCTCCTCCTCCTCCTCCTCCTCCTCCGCCTCCTCCTCCTCCTCCTCCTCCTCCTCCTCCTCCTCCTCCTCCTCTTCCCCTCGCCCCCACGCGACCCCCAGGGATGGCCCGAAGAGGCCTTCTCAGGCCACCCCCTTGCTCCCAGAGATCTCTCGGTGTATCCTGTCTGCTCGCTTTGTTTCCCTAGATGTGTCTCTTCGTCCCTGTCCCGTCAGCTCTCATGGGCAGGGCTTCTGAATGGGCTGGCGGGGATACTTTTTTGGTTAGCGGCTCCTAGGCGACGGCCAAGGAGCGGGAGCGAGCTGGTGGGGATACGCGAAGCGCAAAGAATTTGCAAGAGTTTCACGGATTGAAGGCAGGTCGTTTTCAATATGTGGCTCTCGCCTTCGCGCCGCGCACATTGGTTTTCATTGTTGCCAGAGCTTCACGGATTGAGGCCGGGTCGTTTTCAAACTGTGGCTCTCGCCTTAGCACCGCGTACATTCGTTTGAACAAAATTCAAGAGTTTCACGGATTAGCGGCGGGTGGGTTCAAAATGTGACTCTCGCATTCGCGCCAGGCACATTCGTTCTAAAAGCTTGCAAAATTTTCACCGTGCTCCCATGATCAACGTACCAGAACTTGTGTTTTGAAAGGATTCTGGATTACGCGGGCGCAACAATGGTATTGGTTCGCGGTGAAGAACTAAAAATAGCTTTCTGGCACGATTCCGAATCGTCAAGACGCAGCAGTCAGGTTGATCCAAGGCGTTGAAATCCCGAGAAGCATGTGTTAGAATGCTTCAGGGTCTTGGGGCGGTTGTCCTCCAACGAGGCAGTTCCCTCTATGGAAATGAACCGTTGTATGGGGCCCATGAATAGGGAGCATGGCAGGAGGGTTAATTCGAACATCGTTGCTGCCTCTTGGGTTTAAAACTGGTCCTCCGCCTCCTCCTCCTCCTCCTCATCCTCCTCCTCCTCCTCCTGGTCCTCGTCCTCGTCCTCGTCCTCGTCCTCGTCCTCGTCATCCTCCTCGTCCTCGTCCTCGTCCTCTCTCTCCACTCCTCCTCCTCCTCCTCCTCCTCCTCCTCCTCCTCCTCTCCTCCCTCCTCCTCCTCCTCCTCCTCCTCTTCCCTCTCGTCCTCGTCCTCGTCATCCTCCCGTCCTTGTCCTCGTCCTCTCGCTATACTCCTCCTCCTCCTCCTCCTCCTCCTCCTCCTCCTCCTCCTTCTCCCCCTGCTCCTCCTCCTGCTCCTGTTCCTCCTCCTGTTCCTCCTCCTCCTCCTCCTCCTCCTCCTCCTCTTCCTCCTCCCTCCCTCCATCCATCCATCCATCCACCCACCCATGCATACATCCATCCATCCATCCATCCATCAAGCTGCCACCAACAAGTCGTCCACGTGTATCGAGAAAGCTGCCGCAACTCCATATGTCGCCTTCTCCTCCCGATGCGCGTCACGCTCTCGGTCGGGTAGGTCATCGTAGGTCCAGTAGACGAAGTTCCCATCCCATAGACTCACTCGCGCTCGAAGAACGCCCACTGGATACAGAGAAAGAGCAACCTGCCACAGATGCGGCGCATCGACCAAGCCATACATAGGCTTGAGAAGCTCCAAGATGAACATCTGGATGTCCCAGCTCTTCACGTGGATACCGCTGCCGGGTAGCATCTCCAGCAGTCTCCATACATTGCTCGGTGAAAGTAAATAAACCTTCCGCACCGTCTCACAGTTGATCTTGAGCTCCTTGGAGAGACGACGGATCTCGTCGAAGCTCAGGCCCTGTAGGAAGGCCGTGTTGATGCCCCAGTTCTCGAGCTCGAACTCTGGATGCGTCTGCGCCGTCGAGACAATCAACTTCTGGCTCAGCCTGCTGGCAGTATTCGAGTGTCGCTGTATCTCGTGCACCTGTTTGTCGAGGAAGCCTCGCCCGCGCAATCTGCTCTTCACGATCCACTCCTTGGACTTGGCGTCGTACTTCCACTTCCTGACCCACACAGCGTCGATAACGTTCGTACTTGAGAGAGATCGCCTGGCTCGACAGGCGAAAACCTTGTGGTCAACAAAGGCCGCCAACTCCGTCAAGTCTGCCTCTTCGACCATCTTCCAGTGAGTCAGGATGTCCTCTTCGTTCAGCGCATCCGACTCCTTGGCGATGTGACACTGCACTTCACCTCTCCGAAGGCAAAAGGGAAACCAACTGTTCCGTCGCCGAGGGCCTTTGAACGTCCAGAGAGCTTCGGTCGCATTCCACGGTAGATCGCCTTCTCGCAGGCTCGAGATGCAGGCGCCCGCTCGATTGTGCCCCTCAATCATCGTCGCGATAGGGTCGTCGAGATATGCTTCCTTGATGTCGTTTATCGCGTACGTGCCGTTATCGTCATACTCGATCGCACTGTACAGCACGTTGTGCCTGGAGAAGAGATCTCCATCCTCAATTGGATGCGGATCCTATTGCTGCTGAGATGATTCATCCAAGATGCGTTCGAGATCACCCGTTAGATCAATGGCCGGATCCGCTGGTTCCAGGACTGCAGGTGGGCCATCTGGTTCTGGTTGGAACTCGTCACGTCCTTCAGTGTCTTGAAAGGAGGCGGTCCGCCTTCGGCCTGTGGCCCTGCATCCCGCGGGGGTACGTGGCCGTGATCATCTCGGTCACGCTCGATCCGCTCCTCGCTGTCATCAAGACGTCGTCGCTGAGTCTCTGGCAAGAGGCTCGTATTGACATGATATCCAAGCTCTGCGTTGCTGCGCTTCTTTCCACGATCGGTTGCTCCAGAGACTCGCTCAGCGGCCTTTGTGCATTCATTTCTTCGTCAAGAAGCTTGCTGAGGTCGTTCGTGAGAACCAGAGTCGGATCGGTCGGCCCCAGGAAAACAGTCGGCGGTCCATGTGGTTCGGGCCGATCCTGTGCTGTTGATGTTGTCTGAGCTGCCGTCGCCGGTGTCGAGTCTGTTCGCGTTGGTTCCGTCGCTGTCGGTGCTGCTGTAGTCGGTGCCCTTGGTTGTTCTTGCACTCCAACTCGCTCCAGAACGCGATCGAGTTCTCTTGCGAGGTCCATTGTGTCGTCCATAGCGTGATCTGATGTCGGCATACTCCTCATGCCCTCATTGCCCCGCACTGTTCCTCGTTCATGTCGCGGAGGCTGAGGAAGCTGAGGTACTTGTTGTACAGGAGGTGCCCGTCGCGGCCTGTCCGCGCACTGGCAACGCAGGCGGCGTCGATGGTGTCAGCTGCGCTCGCGGCGGCCCTCGTAAACCTTGCATCGGCACAGGCGCAGTCGCCGGTTGAGCTGCCGCCGGAGGTGCCAAGGG